GGGACTAAATTCCCTATATTTCTGCAAATTAATCAGGGTGATAAATGGTCCTCATCATCTTCCACGTTGATCATCTAAACATTATTTGTATCTAATAAATTTGATATTTATTAGATAATAACATGGTGTTCGCAACCTGAAATTTGCTAAATTATTGCTCAAATTTTATATTATGAGCATAATTTTCAGATTATATAATCAAGACTGTATTTTGTTAATGCTAATAGGCATAAATTTCAATATTTTAATAAGTGTTGGTTGTGATGTCGATAAATGGTTTAACACTATTGTTCGTTAAACGCCTCCAATTAATTTAATTGAGAACAAAGTATTTTCCATTTTTATTTAATGAATTCTATTACACATCATGTCATAGTTCTCCATATTATAATCAGCTTATGGTCAGATTATAATTTTTTTTATGTAATTATTTTGATAGTGTAGTATATTTAAAAATTGAATACCATAATGTATTGAAATGAAAAATAAAGAATGCTGAAAATAAGTGCGTAATTTGAACTGTAATCTCAAATGAACAATATTTTATAACACTGAAAAAATGATTGTTAGTTTTGATTGGACAATTCTTTAAGCATTAGGGGGAAGAGTAAAGAAACTGTAAATAATGAACAAGTGCATCATTATTTAAATATTTATAGAACATAATTCGATCCAGAAGTTCGAAAAATAGTATATTTGGATGCATTTACTGATTAAAGAGATCAATAATACCTCATACACCAACTTTAAATGCTCCAATAAGAATTAATGTCTCAAGAGAACAATTTGATAGCATTATATTTGATATACTATGGTACGTCTGAAGCGTGATGGTATTCAATTCTAATATAAAAATCTTCAAACGAAAATTGAGCAATCAGTAAATATGGTCTCATTAAGGAGACACATACTCTTAATGAGTATTTAGATATAACAAATTATAAAATTTCAGAAGAGGTTTATGTACCTAATATATTGAAATTTGAGATATCTAAATAAGTTATGTCAATGTGAGAAAAGAAATAAAATCGAACAAGAAAAGAAAAAGTTGTCAACAACATTTTTACGCATGATGTACTGTATCATATTATAAATAACAAGGAATCGAAATAAATGCATTGAAATATATTGATCGAAATAATATTTGACCAAATAAAAGGGACGCAATTTTAAATTGAATTTACTAGAGAAACATGAATTTTTTGGACCTGTAGTTCGAAAATCTAAAGGTATATACTTATACGAAAAAGGAAATGAGAAAAATGAAGTCGTAATGTGTAATACACGACTTTCAAAATAGTGAATTTTACAAAGATCGTCATGGATGAAATCACGAGTCTATATCATGTTATCTGGACGATAGATGAAATTTGAAATATGTAATAGTCAACTCATCTGGCATGACTATTAGTATTATCTTTGAAAGATTTTATATAATGATACACGCCCGAGACAGATCATTATATTGATTAAAACAATCCGGATGCTTGTGGTTAATCACTTTACCAAATATTTGTTGAAAGAAGGCTGTAAAAATGATGATGTCTGCCCATTTGTTTTCATAAAGAAAATAAATGCTGGATTTGTAATTATGGTTGATGATTTAAATTTAGTTGGAAGTCTTGAAGAGCTTAACAAAATTGCTGATTATTTGAAAAATGAATTTGAGATGGAAAAAATCAAATTTTGTCTCGGATTACAAATTGAATATTTTGCAGAATAATTATTTGTTCATTAATCTATATATACAGAAAAAGTTTTAAAACGTTTTTATATGGATAATGCACATCTATTGACATCACCTATTGTTGTTCGATCACTTAATGTAAAAAAAGATCCATTTCGTCCACTCGAAGATGGAGAAAAAGTTCTTGATCCTGAAATACCATATCTTAGTACAATTAGAACATTAACTTATCTTGTAAATTGCACTCAACCCGATATAACATTTTCTATAAATCTCCTTGCAATAAATCGCTCTACACCAACTCAAAGATATTGGAATGGTGGTACTATTGATTTGAGATTATTTTATTTTCAAAAGTCGGAATCTACATTAGTAAGATATGCAGATGCATGTTATCTATCTGACCTCCATAAAGCTAAATCACAAACATGTTATGTGTTTACACGTGGATGAATGGTTATATCTTGGAAATCTGTGAAGCAATCCTTGACAGCTACATCCTTAAATCATTCTGAAATCATTGCAATATATGAAGCAGGTCGAGAACGTGTATGGTTAAGAAACATAACCCATCATATCCAAACATCATGTGAGTTAACTTCAACAAATGATAGTCCAATAATTTTGTATGAAGACAATGCGGCTTGTATTGCAAAAATCAGAGAAGGCTATATCAAAAGTGACAGGACGAACCATATTTCTCCTAAGTTCTTTCATAGACATAAACTTAAAAAGAATGACGACATCAATATCCAACAAATTCGCTCAAATAACAATGTGACCGATTTATTCACAAAAGCATTGCCAACATTTACATTCAAAAAATTAGTTCACGAGATTGGAATACGCCGATTCAAAGAGCTTCAATGATCAACATCAGGGGTGGAAGCTGTACACTTTTTCCTTCTCTTAGATATTATCTCACTGGATTTTCTTAGTAATGTTTTAATGAGGCGGCATTTATTTTTTGTACTCCAAAATAATTGTACTCTTTTTCCTTCGTTTGACTTTTTTTCGTCCCATTGGGTTATTTTCAAAAAAGGTTTTAGCGAGGTAGATATTTTGTAATGTGTCATTTAAGGGGAAGTGTTGTAAATGGTAAGTTTATTACAGTTTGTTAGTGAATAATCTCTTTATCCCTGCAACTCTAAAAATTATTACAATTGTATCTCTGATTCTTACTTATAAATATATGATTTTGGTTCTTAATAAAAACACACACAAATCTATTGACTTCTCTCTATTTTCTTCTCTTTTCACTATATATAATACAATATAATTGATCCATCATTTTTGCAATAGTCTAATAATAAATGTGTTACACAATGCTGGGCACGTCAGGCATGTTGGAGGTTGAAAATTTGGTTATTTATGCTCGTAAATGATTTTCATAATTCAATTGATTTCGTTCATTAAATTAACGGTGAGACTTAATTTGATCAACGACGTTATAATTATATGGCGTGACTAAGGATAATTATTTTTCAAAAACATGAATGACTCAATTTGTTGTCAACTCAGATATGCATTATCCAATAACAGGGAATATAAATTGTACAACAAAAAACAACTTTGCCTTTTAAAAATAAATAAATAAATACTCTCTACTTGAACAATATTATCCTTGGTTATAATACATATATTGAAATATGTGCCCAAAAGTATTAGAACTATACAACAATGTTTGACATTTTGATTTGTCCATGGATGAATATTGCTTATGTATTTGTGCTTTCAAAAAAATCATTTCAACATGCGATTAAGTGCCTTCGATCGAAAGTTGATTTGTCCTAAATCAATGGACATACTTTTGGAATATAGTCTAATGAGGATGTGCCACGGTTGGGTTTGTCCACCACACAAGTGGAGGTCCACATGACACCATGAGATATATAAAGGGTCAAACGAGAATGACAAATTCATAGATGCAAGCATGTGAAGGAAATTAGAATGGGACGATTTAAGGGATAAGTTGTATTTAATAGGTGGTCGGGGTATTTTGATCCACATGTGTGAACATGGGTCGTACGCAAACCTCGAAGTATTGTATGGGTAACAAGTGGCTTGCTTATGGAGAATTAGCCACAATTTCGATTTGTTGAAGTGGCGAAGAAAGGATGCCACCGAGTAGCGCCATAACTTAGACATGTGACGCAGACACTAAGTGGATAAGTGGCATGCGGGAGAGTACGACTTCTAATATATCTCCATGATTTTCCACTCTTTTTTCTCCTATAAATTGATCTTCCGTTGTTGCCATTTTGGAAAGTGTTTCGTGGATTTGGTTTCATTGGCAAGAATTAATAATTATTAAAATTTATGAATTAATTTAATTAATAGATTTTATGTGGTTGTAACAATATTCATTTATGAAAATTATACCATTTCATCAAGACCTTGACTTGTGAAGTCACAAGAAAAGGTGTCTTAACTTCTTTTAACTTTTTAATAAATCAAACCAATTGCGTTAAGTCACAAGAAAGTTAGAACTATTCTTTATTCAATTTAATCTAACAATTCGGAAAATTATCAACTTATTGCAGTTGTACCAAACCTCAATTCAAGAAAGCGTGGAAGCCGAATTAAGCCGAAGCCTCATGGACTGTGAACTTTTTTTTCTTAAAGAAGAGGCATTAACAGTATATGAAAAATAACCATCACCTAACTCTATGCCATAAGCCGATTTTGTATGTTTCAATCTATTTTCTTGCGTTCCTATGGAGGGATTTTTATTTTTATTTTTTAGGGCTTCTTACAGTCCTTTCGATCTTTGTTCCTCGTGTAGATCTGATATAATCCTTTGTTCAATAGCCTTTGAATAACACATCCATAGATTCAACAAGCAATATCCACTCAAAACTTTCATAGGTGAGTGACCAGGAAATCTGAAAATAAAATCTTTGTTTGGAGATGTTATCTTGTTTGAAAACTTAATAAGTTAACAGAGAATAATTTATTTATTATTTTATATATACATTCAACAACTTGCTTGTAATCATTACACAACATTCTATATATTTAAAGAATAATGAACGAAAAATTCCAACAAATTACTTAAGCATACGCAAGAATAATAATCGAAGAAATGCATCACAAGTTGACTAATAAACAAGTAGGAATTCAACTGTCACCAGCCGTCTTCATAATTCATATTAAACATTCAAATCCAAACTAAACAATAATCAAAATATCAAACTTGGCGTGGGATGCACGATTCCTCAACAAATGCATTCAAAGCTTGTAAATTTAATCTTTATCTGATATAAAAACTTCACATGATTCCTTCCATAAAAGAGAAAAGTAAACGAGACTGTGCTATTGCATGAAAAGTAGGCAATATTTATTTCTTCCTTTCTTCTTTATGGTTCTTATTTATCCCCATGTTGAGTCATTGTTCTGTAATTTCAGCTGTTTGAGATGGCGATCCCACAAAGAAGTTTGCTCAAAATCATCCTCCTCGGCGATAGCGGGTGCAGTTTTGTTATCAACCCTGTTCATTTTCTGTTCTTTTATTTTTCAATTAAAAAGTTTATTACCAAGGTTTATGTTGTATCTTTATGTATTAATTTTTTTTGCCGAGAATGTATTTTTTTTGATGATTTATTTTCAGGGTGGGAAAGACATCTTTGATGAATCAGTATCCTTCATTTCACTGGTTTAATATATTCGTGTTTGTTTTGATTTCAATGGATGGATGCTTCTGCATCAATCATTCTATTTTCTTGCGACGTTTCAAACTCAAATAAAAGCGTGTTTTATCGAATTCATGTGGCTTGGGCACCGCAACTGCCCTGATAACAAGTTTTGTATGCTCAACTGATTTTGTAGGACGCCTCTCTTCTATAGTTTTATGTAATCGTGTTCAACCCCCGCACATAAATATGCGTTAGTAGTTGATTGGCATGTATATATGATATTCCGGGAAAGGAAAATTTTGCTATAAGCGCTGAAGTTGCTACAAGAAATTTCACTTTTAATGATGAAAATTTTCACCGTCCAACAAGATTTAATATGTTGTTTCATTAAAAAAGAATTGTGGAGAGACTTTTCAAAACAAACAATTTCGTCGCTAAAAGTGAAATTTCTTGCATACAGAAGCATTTCTTTTTCTTCTTTTGTAGCCTGTGATAATGCACACCTAAGGTGTATAACGCTTTATTTTATAGTTATTTAACTATTATTCAAGATATGCATACAAAGTATTTCGAACACAGTACAAAACAACGATTGGCGCTGATTTTATCACCAAAGAACTACTGATTGATGATAAACTGGTCACTTTACAAGTAAGTTTTCAAGCCAAACAGTAACATACAAAATTTTAACTTATTTTTCTTTTTTAATATTGTCGTTGTCGAGTACTGTTTAATCTACCGTACAAAATTCAAGTGCCATTAATGATGTTTCTATATTAATGCATGAATTGGAACTTCTATAGATATGGGATACAGCAGGCCAAGAAAGGTTTCAAAGCTTAGGAGTTGCATTTTATAGAGGGGCAGATTGCTGCATTCTTGTGTATGATGTTAATGTACAAAAATCGTTTGAAACACTTCAAAATTGGCATGAAGGATTTCTCAAACAGGTAAATATTTATGATTTTTACACTAGCAGCCAATGAATCAATGCAACGTCATCCATGCGATAATTGCCAACACCACACAATACAATAGACACGATTTTAACTTTTATATATAGCATTTCAATCATGGTCATCGATATGTATTCCATGATGTTTTAGTACTTTAACTTTCTCAGTACAATGACTCCAGGTACACCCTGCAAACCCTGAGAATTTCCCCTTTGTGCTGATCGGGAACAAGGTGGACGTCGATGGTGGAAATAGTCGCGCGGTAAGGGCGTACATTCGTATAATTTTTGTATAGTCGAGAACTCGTTTTTAGTCCTTTCGAAATTGTAAAAGCATCCCTTTTGTCCAGGTCTCTGAGAAAACGGCTAGAGAATGGTGTGTGTCCAAGGGAAACATACCCTACTTTGAAACCTCAGCTAAAGAAAATTACAATGTAGATGCTGCATTTTTGTGTGTTGCTGAAACTGCACTTTCCAGCGAGCCAGTAAACATGTAAACCCTTGTTTTCTTATGCATACGATTACATGTTTGATATGCTCGACTCAACAGTATCATGCACAATAAACCAAAAAAAAGTTAAATCTTCTCCGTTGTTCGTTGTAGTACTTTCTACTAATGTTTACTGAACAAGTACTTCATTTATGCATAAATCAGCATTCTCATCCATGTTAAATCAACCTTTTTTTGTCCAGATGGGAGATGGATGAAGAGATGCCCTCCCATTGGTGAGTATTTCCGTTTTGAGTAATGGACAAAAGAGATTTATTGTTTATCTTTATGATTAGTACTTTTAAATTCACCTTATCACATTTTTCGTGGCTCGACTCTGATTGTACACTGTTCTTTATGCAGTGATCTCCAACGAATACCGGAGTCCATTTCTGGAACTGAGCACCGAGGAGGCTGTGCATGCTGAAATCAGGCAATCAAACATTTGGAATTTCAATCTAATCTATTCATTTAATTCTTAATATTTTTCAAATTTTTTTTTTTTTTAAATTTAGTTTTCAATTTCAAATCAGGTATTATCCCTTAATGTTGTTGCCCAACTAGAAAAATAAGGAAAAAAAGTTTGAGAAAACATTTGTTAGATATTGTACACAATTTAAATGCTAAATTAAAGGACAGTGTGTATTTTTAATTTGTCAAATCAAATAATGTTTGGAGAAAGTAATAAGTTTTCAAGACAAATTATAATATTTACTAAATAAATACAAAAATACAATAAAAATATTTTTTAACTCCGAAAAGAAGGAAGAACCGTCTCCGAGGTGTTTGTGCTACAAGCATGTAATGAGATTCTTCACGCTTGTCCTCAATATATAGGCATATTTAATGAAAATATTTAAATAAAAAGTAATAAAATTTACATAAAACAGGATTTTTTTTGACAATTTACCAGTTTAATTAAGAGTACACATTAAAGTGAAAATTAAGAATAATGAGAAAAATATAAAATCTTTGAAGAACACCTGAATCAATTTATCAAAAATCAGAAATTAATGAAATTTCTAAAAGTAAAAACTAAATGAAGGTGATTAAGATTTAGGTGGTGGCAGTGTTTTAAATTGTCCATTTATGACAGAAAAATAATATTGGTAGAAGAGAAATTTCTCAATCGATATATTAGATTACAAAGAGTAGATATGCAAATAATTCCTACCATATTGACAAAGATTATAATGAAAAAAATAATGTAAAATATCCAATGTTAATAGCTGAATCTCCATAATATCGACAATCATACATTACTATGATATTTTCCTATTGTGGAGATAGAACTTTAGCACCCCTCAAGTTGAAGCTTGAATGTTTGAAACACCCAACTTGTCCATATGACTCTTGAAAAGTGACTTTCCTGTAGGGAATTTACTTAAACATGCACAGCGGAATTTAACAAATTTCAATTTCCATTCAGGATTCAACTTTGTATTTATATAAAAATTGTGATAAGAAATATACCTTTTCTTGTAATTTGCAAACTCCTTCGCATTGTTCCTTTCCAGCAGCTTGAATCTGCCTCCCACAACTGTCCAATTGTCCAGCCTCCAATGAAATCCACACAGAGAATAGACTGCAACTGTTAGGGTTTCTTTCTTGTACCAGCAAGAATAATGAATACCTTATGGACCTCAAACCCTAGCTGTGTATATATATAAACCCAAGCGGACCCGGCCCGGTCCGGTCCAATATTTAATTAATCAAATTAATTAAACTCGGTCCGTGAATTAATTAATCCAATTAATTAATTCGGGATTATAAATAACAAATTCAATTAATTAATTTATCCAACGATTGTTAAATTAATCAATTGACAATTTGCAATCTTCCAATTCTCTTTTGTGTGCGACCCATTAGGTTCCCGACCACGATGCCTAACGTTGTGAAATATTATTTTGATCTAATCAAAATTGATAAATTAATATACCCTTTTAATTTATCGTCAATTCACATTCGCCGTCCCTGATTAACATCTAACAACGTGTCAGGGCAATACATGTGACGGGAAATATCACGTGGTATGACAAAACCAAATTCGTTCGTTTATCGTGAAACTATTATCCCTTCGTTAATACGATCCGATCAATTACGAGATATGAAATTGTGTCAATCTCGATCATTGATCATATCTTTCATTCCACTATTAAGTCAATATAAATCGAAAACTCCTTTTCGACTTATGAGTACACCTTGGCCAAGGATTTCATCATCGACTTAATTGAATGAAATGCAGATCATAATCTCCTACTATCTAAAAGTGACGAATCCTTTATTGATCAATCACAACCTTCATACGATTCTTGACGTACCCGAACGATGTCGTATTAACGGCCCCTTTCAGAGCAACATCCAACACCGCCAAAGTATGACTGTCCTCATATAAGGTATCATGACGACCTCAAGTCAAATGACCAATTCCACTACCGAACGTTAAAGATTAGCCACTGACACTCAGATAGTTATCCATGTGGAATCTCTTAGCGGGTCTCCAATGTTTTGTTCTATAACAAAATATCCACGTGTTCATTTAAGTGTCTTTAGCTCGTGAGATCAGCTACTTACTTCACAAGTAAGAAATGCCACACGTGATGGTCTAACTGTATTAACAATATCCGTATCTCGTTACTACTTACGACCATGGTTTATTCAAGATCCAATTATATGTAATTTGTATCTCACAATCACAACTCCTTGTAATTAACAGATTACCTAAAAATTGGATCTTCAGATTCTATTATTTAATATTATTTATCACAAAATTAATTTAAATAAACAATAGATCTCGCCAAAATCAAATGCATTAAATATATTAAAAGCGTTTACAACCTAAATCGATTGGATCTAGGGCATAACACTTACATTTCCAATAGCTTTTTGTAAACGTATCGATTGTTTCTCTTGCCCAATTGACAAACTACATGACCAGTAGACCCGCTTTGATCTTCTCTCTAACTACATGACAATCCAGTTCGATGTATTTTGCTCCTTCGTGAAATACTAGGTTTGTAGCTATATGTAATGTTGCCTGACTATTGTTATGGAATACACCGATTGTGTGCATATTATATTCATAAAAGCATATCATTTATTTGCGCGAAATCGAAACGTAGTTTCGACTTACCAAAATAGAATTTGAGAAGCAAAGCAATAATAGTTACCGAATCTGAATGCATGAATATGGATTTATCTTTTTCGATTCTTGAACGAAAGCAAGTTATTCTTTGAATCAAATCTCGTAGAACAAACATGTAAATAATGTTAATCAGTTTCTGAAATCAAATCATAATTAAGAAAAATCAGAAAATGAAGGAAGAAAGATGTAAGTGATGAATTTTTGGTCAAAGCAAGTGTTTGACATTGATCCTTAAGATGAATTTACCCCGCATCGGTACTAACGATTTTTCGACAATCATCTCTCAAGATCCAATGACCACGTCAAACCATAGGAGCACTCCAAATGGTTTCGACCAACGAACTTGAACGGAATTTCCTCTCTACCATAACAATGATTTTGATGCAAAAGATAATCACTTCTATAAAGTGTTTTATGTAACTTAACATGAAATGAATAATATGAAATTATGGAATGAATTGGAATGACAAATACACATCCAAAGGGTCCTATATATAGAAGATAATCAATTTGCTCCGCGTTGGTGCTAATGATTTTTCAACAATCATCTCCTAAGATAAAATGACCACGTCAAACCATAGGAGTACTCCAAATGGTTTCGACCAACGAACTCGAGCGGAATTCCCTCTCTACCATAACAATGATTTTGATGCAAAAGATACTTCTACAAAGTGTTTTATGTAACTTAACATGAAATGAATAATATGAAATTATGGAATGAATTGGAATGACAAATACACATCCAAAGGGTCCTATATATAGAAGATTAAGGGTTGTCAGTGAAGGGACACACCCCAAATTCAGCATTTTTCATGGAAAGTTGCAACACTTCATTTCGAAAGTTGCAACACCTCATTTCAAACCTGCATCATTTCGAAAAGTTACAACATTTCATTTTTTCAACTTTGGACCGTAATTTCTTATTCATCCGGAATTGGTTTCGAGATTCCAAATATACCACGACAATCTACTCGACAAGTAGAATAAGTTGGTCTATTTACTTTTATAATTCGACCATCGGATCAAGTCCGAACATTCGACCGAAGTTGACACGAAGTCATACCTTTTCATTTTCCCAGTTTTAAACTTAACCAATTTTCGGTTAATTTTTGAACCAATTCCAACAATCCTCCACATGAATGAAAATTCGAGTATGCAAATGTAATGCAATGATGTGACGCAAGTAGAGAGAGAGAGAGGAAAGCCACTACATCGAGGATAGTAGCTTCAGGCTTTGAACCTCCTGTAGTGAAATACCATCGGACTCATTCGGCTAATTGGTGAACGTCATGTATTGAACCATTCAGTCTTTAGTGTAAGCTAAGACAACAATACTCACACAATATCTTCCCTAAACCATTCATGGTTCTCATGACTTAGTTCATTTTGGCCCTGAACCCTTCTTGTTTCTGCGAGTATTTAAACAATTCAAGCCTTGAATAATTCTCATTGAAGCGGCCCACTTCACACTCACATAGGTGACCTCCTATTAAGAGTATCCTGTCTTACTCTACTTGACTTAATCAAGATATAAGAATTATTAAAAGATTATCTTAACCTCTTGCAACTCTGCAGAAAGCACTTTAATGTCATAGGAATGAGTTAGGAAATTATTTTCCTTAGTACTTCATGGAATCCTCATAACTTAGTTATCCCTTTGAACCAAGATCTTGGGATCTCCAGTCAACAAGGTAGGGTTACCATTACAAGGATTCTAACGTAGTAGGCTTTACCTCATTCCCTTCGATATGCAGTATTCTTGATCTCTCTTAGTAAATCTCTTTAAAGGTACCACGAGTTTACACTATTGAGATCGTCTGCTTAATGGTATTATGTCTATAACTTATACGTCTAGACCTATCATTATATGTGACTTAGTATCTTATCAAATATTGTTAGCCAATGATCGATTCATTTGATGATACAAATTATCGCCACCAAGAAATCCTCTCATGAAGTTACATGCCTCATTAGCTTTATCTAAAGCTTTATTAATTTCCAAACAACACTGTTAGAAGATTTCTTATCTAATTATTACACTAGTCAACCATGTTTACTAGTGGATTTCAGAGGCATGAGTATTCAATATCATCATTGAAACATTACAGTGTATTCGAACTTTATGAATATTCTTCATATATTTCAATTGTTTTTGCATGTCTAAACAAACACCATATTCGGCTTTACAACCCATTTCATCCACTTTAGACTTAATATATATCATCCTTATAATTAGTATAAGGGTTTTCTATCTTCCCACCTTCGTAGATATCGTTCTATGATTATAAGATAGAAACAAACTTAACTGTTAAACTGAGTTACCCTCATAATTCCTCAATTAGGAATACATATGCAATCTAGTAATGTTGCATCCATAAGTTTTAAACTTTTAATTCAAGTTCGCCAGTATTTATGATAATCCCCCACATCTTTGGGTTACAATTGAACTTAGGGTTTAGCAACTCTTTCATAGTTCATTTTATTTATCTCCTAGATAATATCCATAT